AAAAAAATTTTATTGAATGTTTAACTTGCAACTAATAAGGAAAGATTTTTTAGGACTCAAATTAGGACTTAAGTATTCTAATTGAAAATTAGGCCGGGCGCGGTGGCTCAAGCCTGTAATCCCAGCACTTTGGGAGGCCGAGGCGGGTGGATCACGAGGTCGAGAGATGGAGACCATCCTGGTCAACATGGTGAAACCCCGTCTCTACTAAAAATACAAAAAATTAGCTGGGCATGGTGGCACGTGCCTGTAATCCCAGCTACTCAGGAGGCTGAGGCAGGAGAATTGCCTGAACCCAGGAGGTGGAGGTTGCGGTGAGCCGAGATCGCGCCATTGCACTCCAGCCTGGGTAACAAGAGCAAAACTCCGTCTCAAAAAAAAAAAAAAAAAAAAGAAAAAAGAAAAAAGAAATTAAGGAAGCAAATAGGTTGGCCCCATACGAGATCTGTTAACACATCCACTAGTAAATTTAAAAAATACTCCCAGCACTTTGGAAGGCTGAGGCAGGCAGATCACGAGGTCAAGAGATCAAGACCATCCTGGGCAACATAGTAAAATCCGTCTCTACTAAAAATATAAAAAATTAGCTGGGTGTGGTGGTGTGTGTCTGTAGTCCTAGCTGCTTGGGAGGCTGAGGCAGAATTGCTTGAACCTGAGAGACAGAGGTTGCAGTGAGCTGAGATCGCACCATGCACTCCAGCCTGGTGCCCGGTGACAGGGTGAGACTCTTGTATCAAAAAAAAAAAACACTTCTCAGAAATTATGAGAATCAGAACCTTTCAGACTTTATAAGTGGAATTAACATAGCTAAAATATTTAAATGACTTCCGAAAGTCCCCACTCCGTGTCTTTCCCACTTCTCCAAATGAGTTCCAGACAAGTAGAAGTTCTCATAGCATCTTTTGTTCTCCTACTCTGGGAGCGGCTGGTGGGAGGCAGAATAATCCAAGAGATTTGCCACTGGCTTTCCTTTCTGTCAGACTTTTTTTTTTTTTTTTTTTTTTTACTCTTTTAAGGCTGGTGAAATACATCTGTTAGAATTTTAAAAACGGTTTTCCTGTTACAGCTATTTGTGGACTGGTAGCTTGCCCCTGTTTGTATCCATGTTACAGCTGGAGGAACGACAGAGGTAGTAATGGAGACTCAAAGTAGTTAGAACTCTGCTGAAGTCACATTCAGTAATTTTTCCTTTAAAAAATCTTTGTGGTAAAATAGTCACAGTAAAAATCCATCAAAGTTAATTTTTATTAAAACCAAAGTGCCAATCTGCCCCCCAAAATTAAAAACAAAAAGACTCCTGCTTCAGATGTCCTTCACAGTAAGTAAAACCTTCATGGAGAAAAATCTGTGATCTGATTGGCTGGCATTATTCTCACTCAGAAACATGACACCAGTATGTGAATTATGACAGTAAATTCACATCCAAGATGAATATGCAATAACATTTATAAAAAGACATCGACTATTAATTTACGTAGGGCTATAAAATACTTTTAAAAATATGTACATGGTTATTGAAAAGGAGGAGCTCAATTTCAGTAAGAAATTAAATGGCTGAACTCACGGTCACCATATAATGTTTTGAGACAGTTTTGCCCTTGTCACCCAGGAGTGCAATGGTGTGATCTTGGCTCACTGCAACCTCCGCCTTCTGGGTTCAAGCAGTTCTCCTGCCTCAGCCTCCCAAAGTAGCTGGGATTACAGGTGCCTGCCACCACATCCAGCTATTTTTTTTTTGGTATTTTTAGTTTAGACGGATTTTCACCATGTTGGCCAGGCTGCTCTTGAACTCCTGACCTCAGGTGGTCCATCTGCCTTGGCTTCCCAAAGTGCTGAGATTACAGATGTGAGCTACCGTGCCTGGCATGGTGAATTTTTTTTTTTTTTTTTGAGACAGAGTTTCGCTCGTTACCCAGGCTGGAGTGCAATGGTGCAATCTCGGCTCACTGCAACCTCTGTCTCGTGGGTTCAAGCAATTCTCCTGCCTCAGCCTCCTGAGTAGCTGGGACTACAGGTGTGCGCCACCATGGCATGGTAATTTTAATGGCCAATCAGATCACTCAATTTCTCTCATAACAAATACATATAAACCATAAAATGATTAGATCTTCAGTTTAAACCTAAAACCTTTTGTTCGTATGCAGCAGCTGACTTTTGGGATTCACATGAATTTGGACCAGAGCTCAGCAAAAGGAGGAGTTCTGTTTTCACTCTCTCTCCTTGGAACTCAAATGTATGTGTTTAAGCACAGTAACAGCATAGGATATTGAAATGCAGTTTCATAAATGGAGCGATTGGCTGTATACTCACCCTTTTGACTATGGAAATAACCTTTTTGAAAGCATTGCTAACCAAGTTATACTACATCTGTGCTACTGCGTGGTAGTAAAATACAGTAGTAGTAAAGCCTGGTTGTTTTTAGCTTAGAAAAGAAAGTAAAACTACCACGATGAGAGGATATTTTCCTTTCCTTTTCTTTTTTTAAGATAGGGTTTCATCATGTTGGTCAGGCTGGTCTTGACCTCCAAAGTGCTTGGATTACAGGTGTGAGCCACCATTCCTGGCCACATTTTCCCTTTGTTTTAGTACCTTCCACTTTCCTACCCTTCCATTCAGAAAAGACAAGCAGGACATGTTAATTCAAAAGAAAAAATGATTGCAATGCCAGATACTAATATAAAATGTAGTCTGTGTTCAATATGGTCTACATCTGTTCATTTTGCCATGGCCGTATATGTCACTGGGTTTCCTTCTTGCAGGAAAGTCAGTTGCTTGGCACCTAGAAAAGCTATCAGTGAGGTGGAACTGAGTAAATCCTAGCTCCCACATGGTCTGCTCATCCATAAGCCCTAGCCAAAGGTATGGTAACATTCAGCAATGGGGGCCCACTGGGCTCCTGGTCTCAAATCCAGAGGAAAATCTCCCAGAGTTTACTGGTCAAAGATACACACTAGAGTGTACAAGTTCAGGTCAGGTTTACCTAAATCGCACTGAACTTTTGGCGGAATGCTTGATAAATGAGTGTGGGTTATAGTTTAGGCTCATTGTTTGGTTTACTTCTATTCAAATAGAATTTAAGGATGAGATCCACCTGGGCACACAAGTACTTGTAATAAAGTGAATGGATAGTAATCTAAAGACCATTACACAAGGGCTATTTACAGAGAGAAACTCAAGACCTTTACTTTTTTTTTTTTTTTTTTTTTTTTTTTTTTTTTTTTTTGAGGTTGAGTCTCTCTTGCTCAGGCTGGAGGTATGATGGTGAGATCTTGGCTCACTGCAACCTCCACCTCCTGGGTCAAGTGATTCTGCTTCAGCCTCCCGTGTAGCTGGAATTACAGGTGGGCACCACCATGCCTGGCTAATTTTTATATTTGTAGTAGAGATGGGATTTCACCATGTTGGCTAGGCTGGTCTCAAACTCCTGACCTTGTGATCCACCCACCTTGGCCTCCCAAAGTGCTGGTGGGATTACAGGTGTGAGCCACTGCATCTGGCCCCAAAACCTTTACTTTTAATATTATTAATTATGTATGACCAAAGATGGTTCTGCCTTTCATTCAGCCAAAGATTGTTAGGGAGAAACAAATACTGTGTTAAAACGTAAATATGGCACTGCATGTAATAGTGACAGTTTGGGGTTCATTAGGAAATTACAGTTTTACTCTCACAAGTTCTAACTCCCTTTGTGATGATTCTCAAAATAATTTATCTGCATTGCTGTTTTAACTCAGGAGACAAGTATGGAAGAACAAACTGTCAGATGACAGTATTCTAAGATACCAATAACTTATTAGCAAAAGCTCCACAGCTGCTGTGCTAAAAATAAAACAAACACTAGAGCAAAGAAAGAAAGACAAAAGGTGTATGCACAGTTACCAAAATCCATTCCAATACTCTTTGGAGAACAAATGTCAAATGCATCTTTAAAACAGTGACAAACATTACCATGTAACACACATCTGGAAAAGTGATTAGATCGACTTTTTAACAATATATAATTGACATATTATGATTAAGACCTATATATAAACAATGGGAAGCTATTGCTAACAAGTTATTTTCTATTTTATCTTTAGCAATACCTGAAAAACCCAATGAATTAGCCACAGAATACTTTCCACTTTAAGAAGTAAAGCCATGTAGATAAAACCAAGTCGTCTATGCTGAATTTATAGGGGGAGATATAATGCAAATAATAGCCTTCTTTCAAGTCAGCTTTTTATTCTATCATCCTAAGGAGACAAATTTACTCCAGTTAATGATTTATAAAGGAAGATTAACTTTGGCAAACTAAAAATAGGTGTTTTGTCAAATGCTGGATTAGTGTATGGCACAGCAATTTTCTCTTAATCTGGTTTCTTTCTTTGACATTTCATCTGATCCTAAAAAAAGCATTGAACAAGTAAAAGGAATAAATTTTTATCAGTTGAACTGGCTAGGTCTGGCCCATTAAGAATATGCTTGTCCTCAGAATATAGGTCTTTTATGTCTCTATCAGGAAAATCAGAATTAAGTCAGATCAAAGACTAAATGTGATGTTCTGACTCTTGAAAGAAAAACATGACTGATAGATGCTTCAGGAAAAAAAAAAAAATTCACTATTTCTCCCAACTGCCTGTTCCCAAAATCCCACAACGCATTTTCATTCCAAATTATAGACAGATGAAAACCACAAAAACGAGTCCCTTTTAGAGGAACTTATATTTAATGCCCAGTAGGGTGTATGATGAAGAAACCTCACATCAAATACAGTGCACACTGCTGTTAATTTATATTTTGAGTAGTTCCACTAAAAGCTATACTGCAAACAAGGAGGCTGTTGTAAAAGGATCACCTGTATAGTTAAACCACACACAGACACACAGCAAAACCAAACATGTATACTTCCTTCAGTGGAAGAAGTTGAAAATCTAGATCTAGAAAGGTATGAAAAATGGCCTTGAAACCCAGCTATACCAGTACCTCTATAGACAAGATAAAAACAAAAACATCAAAGGTTTGTTTTCCTGATTTTTCTTTAATACAGTTGCCCTCTTACATAATGTACTATTAGGTGCCTTCTTAATAGCATCTAATCTACCCTTCCGTTGCACCGGTTGGCCTCCTGGGATGGAACTCTTGTTACCACCCATGTTTGTGGAGTACTGTTCTTCAGTATACTAAGCCTAACCCATATGGTCAGGCCATGTACTTCACGGGTAGTGGTATTAATTTCTAAAACTGAATTAGCGCACACATCCAAACCACATATACTTTTCAACTTAAGAGTTCATACAAAGTCTATTATTTCCTTTCTACAGTAGCCATCGCTCCAGATTGTAGTTTAAAAATCCAAGAAGTGGGAAGAATGTCTTTGTATTCAATGCTTCCTTCTTCCATCCCTTCTGCCTTCCCTCCACGTTCGTTCTTTATTCCATTCATTTCCTTCTTTATTCTTTTTCTTTCTTAGTGATAAGAGGTTAACAAAAATGGGTTATTAAGGAAATCAAAGTCTAGTAAATGGCCAAAACGGAGATCAGAGTAGTCACAAACTCTTCTTTGTAGTGATGTTAAATTACTGACAAATGTTTATTGAAAACAAAAAAAATCTAAAAACCAGCACAAGCCCATGGTGCTGCGTATTATTTAAGCAACTGGCGTTCTTCAATGCTTTTGAGGCGTTTCTTTCGGGGCTGTACAAAGTCATCATCTGAGTCATCACTGTATTTATTATCTTCTGATTCATTCCTGAATTCTGGTTTAGGAAATCTTTTTTCTGGATAGAGATTCTTTAGAAGTTCTTCAAAATAATTTTCAAGTTTTATACCAGCATTAGCTACTTCTGAATCAGGCTGTTAGGTAAAAATAAAACAAGGAATAAATCACACTTTTGACTTCTGAGATTGTACATATTAATGAGCTGTTTTGAAAAGTATAGCTCATTTGAAATGCATAGTCATTGAAATAAATAGTCTAGGACTAGACAAAGCCTACAGAAGGTGAACTAAAATAAAAGATTCAGAAGTGTGGAAAAAGATAAAGAAAAGCAAATAAAAGACTGACTTATTCTAAAAGAAGGTGGTAATGGTAGGACTGTATTGCCAAAGATAGATCAGTTAAGATGCTGTAACCATAGGATCACGAACCCGGTATTTCTAGCAAACTAAATGAAATATGTAGTACTTAGAATGAGTAACAAACAGAACAAACCACCAGCAGCAAAAGTGTTCTGTCTGACAGATGTTTAGATGAACTGACAGATGAGAAAGTTTTAAATTACAGCTATTTGGACCACATCCTTAGTATTTCAAGATCAACATAAAAAATAAGAAATAAAGGTGGGAATGATAAAAAATGTTTCTAGGTCAGAGAAAAATATGTTGTCTTTCAGTTATAGGCTGTGATTTGCATTTCAATCACCATCTAATAAACCTTTGAATATAAATGTGGGTAAAGTCATCTGAATTCTCTCCTGCATTTCCTGACCTGAAAAATTAGAAATTTATTCTAACACAGACCTCTTGGTATCCTCGTATGTTGACAAGGTGTTTAGTGTAAAATGATTTTCACACTGCTATTCCTTCCTGCCCCATCCCATTCCCTCCCCTCAGCCTCACCTCATTGAATTCAGCACAGTTTTGAAAGATCAATCTAAAATCGGCTACAAAATCTTCAGGTTTTGAGTACATGGAATAATCTTCCTGTAGTCTCTTCTTGATGGTTGACAAATCCATCGGATTTTTAATTATTTTGTAATAATCAGGCACCTTTCAAAAAAAAAAAAAAAAAAGGAGATGCTATAATACAAATAGATGAATTCTACATTGTCCTAAATACATTTTGTAAGATATATTTACTTGGAATGTTCTCATTGCTCTTCTCTGTGCTATTTGTCATTAGTAAAGAAACACATTTAACAGTGTTTACAAGTGTGCACTGCACCTACCACACAATGGTAAACGTTTGTGTGACTTTTTCCCAAAAAGTTTAACCAATTATTTTTGAGACAGGGTCTCTGTCACTCAGGCTGGAGTACAGTGGCACAATCTCAGCTCACGGCAAAGTTTGCCTCCCGGGCTCAAGCAACCTCTCACCTCAGCCTCCCATGTAGCTGGGGTTACAGGCATGCACTCACATACCAGGCTAATTTTCTTGTAGAGACAGAGTTTTGCCATGTTGCCCAGGCAGGTCTCAAACTCCTGTGTTCAAGCAACCTGCCTGCCTTGGCCTTCCAAAGTGCTAGGATTATAGGCATAAGCCACTGTGCCAAGCCCCAATTATTTTAATGAAAAAACTTGTCTTCACATATTCTCTCTTAAATCATCTAGGGTTTCCTTGTTCATTATTAAATATAAAGCAATTACTAGAAAGACTATCATTTCTAGTAGAATCTGACATGTTTTTTCTGCATGTACTATAGCAAGTGATAAAGAGGAAGGACTTTGGATCTGGGTTTAATCCCCAGCTCTGCTGCTCAGTATCATGATCCTGGTAAGTTACTTAACCTTGCTGAACCTTAGTTTATTCATATTCCAAATAGGGATAATCCTACCAAATGCTCAGTATTTTGTAGAGATTAAATGAGATGATAATTATTAAGAAAAAGGGGGCTACTTTGTCATTGCTGTTGATATTAATAACATAAATGTAAGCCAGGATGATAAGCGCAATTCAAGGTTACATTTTCAAGTTGGTACTGTTGTTACAAGCCTCTCTTGACGACTTTACCCTGCCTCTTTTGGGTACAAAAGATCTTCTCCCTGGAAGTATTTATTTCCTATATCTAGTTCTCAAAACCTGTTCTTAAGAAAGAAGCTATTTATCAGCTGAATTTATTTACTAAGCTGGTTTTCTTCTTCTAACTTGGGATTAATTTTTGAGATTTATCAAACTGTAGAACAAATTTATTAAATTTTAAAAGGAATTTCAGGCATTATAGAAGTTTGTTTGGTTTTTTTTTTGGAGGGGGGAGGGCTGGTACCAGGCCCTTTCCAGTACTCTAAAATTTGTGTTAAAGTCACATCAAACTTTCATTATGAACCGTTTTGAAGTCAATAGTGCGTGCATACACACACACCCTTCAACTTTTTTTTTTGTATTTTTAAAGCCTACTTATTTACCTGAAGTCTGGACCTACAAATAAAAATACAGAAAATTTTGCTGGGAGAAATGATGCCTTTATTTCAAACAAAGTTCTTTTTCCAACAGCTTTGGAAACATGCCTGAAACTCCAGAGATAAAATTAACAGAAATCATCCCAAACATCCCAGAAAATAGTAAGTAAAATAAGAGAAGAAAGAATACCTGAGAAATGAACACAAGTTTTGGGCCACTTACTAAAGTGTACCTATTTAGGATCAAAGCATTCACTATGTATTAATAAGCTTTAAGACTGAGATATTAAAAAGTATTGAAAAATGACATTTAAACTAGATTCCCGTAACAAAATTCCAGAAAAAGCATTCCACTGTGTAAACATGCATGAATTGACATTAATACTTACAGTTAGAGGAACAGGGTCTTGAAAAGCCAGGCTCATTTCATGGCAGTAAAGAAATAAAAGTAGGCGCTCACACTTCTAAGCAAAAATAAAAATTGAGATAAAATATAAAACAATTCATGGTTTATTTTAAATAATAATTTAAAATAATCTCAGAGGCCCCAAAGTGTCAGACTAAAAAAATCTGATGAATACAAAATTATTGATTCTTGAAGATTTCTTCTCCTTCCCAGTCATTAACTGAACTGTACTACTTGACAATTTAGGGTGTATGTGATATTTGACAGTCTCTATAATTAAATGTACTAAGACAGTATTACTATAAACCCATTTGAAGTTCTCTAACAATAAATTTACACTTACTGCCCCAGTCTATTATAAATTACTAATAGTCAATAAAGGAAGAACCCATGTCTCTTAGGAGAACCGGAGGTGGAAACTTCTCAATGTGCATCTAGACTTAAGGCCCCTCTCTGCATATAGAAGGTTCAACCATATGCTCTGCTATTCATACTTCCCTGCTTGTGGGTTTATCCCAGTAAACACTGAGTAGTACTGGAAGTGAATGGGTATGTGCCCTCTTGCATAACAACTTCCATAGTATTACTCTACTTAATAATTTAGCAAAGGAGTTTCTTTGGTAACAAACTGTTGACTGGGTAGCTGTAAATGTTATTTACAATTAAATATATCAGGTGGCTTTGATGCATAAGCCTAGTCCTATTCAGTTAAAAAAAAAAAAAAAAAGAATTATTTCCAGGAAGAGTGTAGAAAAAACCCAGCTCCATGTTGGCAATTCTGAGGAAAAAACTTATCTATGGTAGAAATAAAATAAAATAGAAATTTACTTAAGGTAGATTAAATTTAAAAGTCAAGGTACATATTCCATCTTGTTCAGGTACAATAAGCTTCTATAAAATACATGCATAATTCTATGATTTTTTTTTTTTAATTTAAAGAAAGTGTGTCTTTAAGATTCATATACCTTTGTGAAAAAAAAATACACCTAAAAGGATCAGTATAAAATCTGATTGGATAAACACCTCTTTGATGAAAGGCACCACAGTAAAATATTGCACTACAATACAGTAATGCATCTTACCAAAAAAATTGTCTAACATTGTAGGTTGGAAATGCTCAAAGACTTACCCTTTTATCTATAGGTGTTAATTTAACAAGGCCTTCAGTTTTCCTTTTTTCTGAGTTGTGACTGGGAGCATCACAATCATACTCAACTTCTGGTTTAGATAAGTCTCGGCAGAAAGTGCAAATCCACTCTCCACTGTTGGGGGACAATGTACTTTTGAATTCCTAATGCATCATTTTCTCCCTTCACTATTTCCCTTTCCCACCTCCTCCATTATATCTATGATACAGAGTTGTTTATTTGGCATGAATTTTAATCACTGAGCATTTACCACATACCTACTAGGTATACTGCACCATGCTGAAAGGAAACAGCAGAAATATAATGCAAGGCCCTAAGTTAGTATCAAAATCTAGTTAAGAAGGCATGAAATACATACATGGAAAAAAACGCCTAAATAAACACATTAATCTAGGGCTCACATATCTAGGGCATAATTGAATTTGTCCCCCAAAGGATTCAGGAATCAGCAAAGCTTTCTGTACTATTCTTGTTATTCTAAGTTTGTAAAATTAAATTTTCAAAAGTACAGCCTTCAAAGAACTGAGAGATCAACCCAATGGCTCTTAACCATCTTGGTCATGCTGATGATCATCATCATCCCACAGAGTTTGAGAATTTACTTGAATTACTTATAAATGAGATTTTGAGGCCTGGCAAAAAGATGTAATAAACTGTGGTAGCTATTATGCATAAAGACATTATTCCTTATGGTGACCCCCTGTGATAATTTAAAGGGCCTGTTTTTTTTTTCTTACATTGACTAGGGAGAGGGTCTTGCTCTGTTGCCCAGTCTGGAGTGCAATGGTGCAATCACAGCTCACTGCAGCCTCAACCTCCCAGACTCAACCAATCCTCCCACCTCAGCCTCCTGAGCAGCTGGGACTACAGGCAGGTATTACCACACCTGGCTAATTTTTTAAGTTATTTGTAGAGACAGGGTCTCCCTATGTTGCTCAGGCGGAATGATTAGTTTTTGGAGAGAAGCACAAGGAGTAAGTGGTAGGGTATGGGAAACCCTAGACTATTCATTTGGATTTTGGAATATACATTTGTGCCAAGTTGAATTTAAGTTTCTACAAAGGCTTTCTGTTAAAATAATCTTCAAAAGTTTATAGTAAAACAATGTGGGAAAGGAAGTACTATCTTACCTTGGAAAATTTGTCAATGTGGGCACATGACAAGAAAGATGGAATACTTTGGGGCACTTTTCACAGCACAGGAGTTCCCCTCCATTTTGACAAACTGCACACCAGTCCTCATTTGGGTCATCTTCTTTCCTTGTCTCTCCAACGTGAAGGGGTGACTTCTGGGAAGGATCCAGCCACTCAGACTTTCCATTTGAGGAATTCTCCTGGTGAAGTCCAGGTTGATCTCCTGTACTATCGGGGGCATCTGATCTTAGCACAGTCTCCTCAGAAGTAGAGCTCTGACTGCTATTTAAGAGCAGGGAGGTGAGTATGCTTCTTGGATAATTGGCCTGCAGTAGATTAAAAAATTTTTTTTATCACTACTGCAATTCTGAATTATAAACCACTCTGTAATGAGCACTTGGCTGCTTCAAAAGAATCTTTTTTTTTTTTTTTTTGAGACGGAGTTTCGCTCTTGTTACCCAGGCTGGAGTGCAATGGCGCAATCTCGGCTCACCGCAACCTCCGCCTCCTGGGTTCAGGCAATTCTCCTGCCTCAGCCTCCCAAGTAGCTGGGATTACAGGCACGCGCCACCATGCCCAGCTAATGATTTTGTGTTTTTAGTAGAGACGGGGTTTCACCATGTTGACCAGGATGGTCTCGATCTCTTGACCTCGTGATCCACCCGCATCGGCCTCCCAAAGTGTTGGGATTACAGGCGTGAGCCACCGCGCCCAGCCCAAAAGAATCTTAATGAGAATAGTATATGTTTACTGCTAACTGGTATAGAAGACATGGACCTCTACTAAAAAATATCAAAATATAAAAAAAGTCTTTGAGTCTGCTGATGGCTACAGAAATTAGAAAATGGGTGGGTAGGGTGGAAAATCAACCAAATGACCTATAAATACACTTCACTGAAACTGTTCATTCAAATTATATGTAAGATAGAAAAGTTGTAAGATGAATCTAAATTTTCTGTTGGAGCCCAGGATGGCAAGAATTTCAAATCAATAATAAAAACTATCTCCTTCAAATGTTTTCAAAAATTTCAAAGAAATAAATGTAGATATAATTAAAGCACTCATTCCTTTGAAGTACTATTTTCAAATCTAGCTTTTTCTTCTGCCGTTTACATCCATATTTCTAAATAAAATGATTGTTAAAAATTGCAATATATCTATAATCCTTACTAGTAGAAGATCAAGAGATTAGGTTTTTACATCCTGATTCTCCAACCTTGTTCTCCTTCCATTTAGACATACACAAAGCCACCACCACCATTCACCTCATCTTTTTAACATCATTTTTATGAAGCATTGATTTAGTTGGTAGGTGCCAGTATAACTGTTTATTGCCAGTATCTACTCCAACTGACCAGTATTTGTCTGTACTGGTTAAGTATTCTGAAAATCTCAATTTTTGGTTAAGTGCATATTCAGGTTATATCCTGATTGTGTCACAGTTCTAGTTACATTTGTACTCTGGTGTTTGTTTATATCATTATGACTATGATTAATAATTTGCCTGGGTATAAAACTTTGGTTAGAGAATATCTCATTTTCAACTTTCCAGGTTCCATATTTGAGCCTCAGATTTTTAAAAACCTTTCTGTTCTTCCATCTTTGCTTTTTAATTTACTGAGAGATTAACATAACATTACCCCCACCCCCCCCAAAAAAAAACCCAACCCTCCTAAGAGCTATTTTAAAGTTTCTCTCACCCGGCCCACCATGCATAGGAATAGTATTGCAAGCCTTCATATAATTACATTTTGAGGCCTGGATTCTTCATCTGATTCTTGCTTCACTATAACAACAGGGAAATCATAATTTTCAGGTGGTCCACTGTTTTCTTGTTTTATTCGAATTGGCTCCAACATTACCACTGGGACTTTGTGTGTAGAATCAGCTCCTGCTGGTTTGCTGGAAGAGCCAGAGCTGTAAGTATGAGAGAGAAGAAAAAACCATCTAAGAATGTGAAGCTAAATACCTCATAAAAAAGTATAACAACAACTTTCTAAAATAATACTGTTTTTTCACAACAATAATTACCTCAGCAACTAATGCTACATAACTGAACTGTAACTGCTGTGAGTTTCATTTATGATAAAAATGTTTTATATATTAACCTATCTAAATAGTTAAACATCTGGAAAGATATTTCAATAAACCTAAATTTAAAAAAAAAACTGAGGCTTTATAATTAGGCAACCAGATTTAGTATCTTAGAACTGGCATTTGATTTTAGGCTTTCTCATTTCCTTCTCTAGTCATTAGCAAAGTAAACTCTAGGCTCACATTAACACTTTGTCAGTGTCTAAAGACAATAATCATTTATTTAAACAATGCTATTTAAAGAAGGTAGTGGACAAAAACCTTTTACAGATATTCATTATGTTTTCATGGGATTAAAGGCAAACTTTTCTCCCTGAAACAATTCTGCCACATGATTAAGAAAGTAAGAATTGGGTTCACTAGCTAGGAGGGAATTTTCAGGCATAATGCAGGGAAGGAAGAGCAGTTGCTTAAAATAGAATTTCAATAACTGTACATTTATTTATTTTAAAGTATAATCATTTTTTCATCATTAGAGATCAAATTAGCATAAAACTGTATCTTGTCCCTAAGTTTGTGTTTCCATATAATGTACTGTTATACCTATTCATTTTTATGTTTTCCTTGCTATTATGTGAATATCAGACATTTATTTTCAACATATAGTCTTCTATTTTCAAAGGTAAATTTGTACTTTAATCTCTTAATTTATTAAATTGTTATTAAAATTTTAATTAAAAATAGAAGAAATTGTTCAAAATATATTGAGTACCAAAACATGTTGAACACTGGCAAAAGAAATCTAGTTAGAGATTTTATGTACTAGAAAATATGGTTTAGTCAGTTTACCTTCCTCGGCTTCCAACGCTGGAGGCACTAGGTGAACGTATTGGGGGGTGTACACTAGTCATAGTAACAGGTCCTGAGCAGGGACAAATCAGACATAAAACGAGTAATTATGCACTGAAGTCCTATTGAATGTGTTAACTTAGCACTATATTGAAACTAGGAACCATAATGAAATTCTATGAAACAGTAGTTGCTGAATTCTCAGTAGTCTGTTAACCTCTGCGCTACTGACTTTTGGACCAGATAATTCCTTGTTGTGGAGGAATGTCTGTGCATTACAGGATGTTTGGCAACATCCCTGGCCTCCACCAATTATTAGATACCAGTAGCATCTCTCTATACTTCCCAGCTTGGGGTGCGACAATCAAAAATGTCTTCAAACATTGCCAAGTCTTTCTGTGTTAAGAGTAACAGGGGTAAGACCTTAGTGAGACCCCACTGCCAGTGAAAGCTACAGAAGACAACAGAAGGTACCTGTGTCCTCAGAAGTAATATTACAGTTTTCCTGTCAGAGAAAATGAGTATGTTAAGGTATGTTAAGATTCACAAATGAAATTAAACACCAAACAAATCACCAAGAGAGTGATAACTCTACTTATTGTCACTAATAAATTTTGATCCTAGGCAAATTACATCTTTAAAAAGACCACATCACAGGCAACTTAAGAGAGAATATAATACTGATTTCCCCCTTGGAAGTACTATAATGGCTGGAAGTTGAAAAAGCAAAGGTGGTCTGGTGTGATGGCTCATGCCTAATCCCAAAGCTCTGAGAGGCCAAGGTAGAAGGATTGCTTAAGGCCAGAAGTTCAAGACTGCCTTCTACCAAAAAAAAAAAAAAAAAAAAACAAAATAGCCACATGTGGTAAAGCAGCACACCTGCAAGAAGTCCCATTTACTCAGGAGGCTGAGGTGGGAGTGAGTCTGCAGTGACATATGATCACACCACTGCACTCAAGCCTGGGCACAGAGTGAGACTGTGACTTGAAAGAAAGAATGAAAAGATAAAGAAATTTAACCTTTGTTTACTTTGAAAGCACACTAATTTTAAATAGTGGAAAAACTCAGATTAAGCATCAAATAAAAAAGGAGAAGAGGGGTAATTTTATTCCAAGTAAAGTGAAAACTAGAAACCCTTTCACAAAAATCAAAGGAAGCCCACTTTACCTGCTAGGCCTGGAGATGGCACTGATGAATTTGGTGACTGGACGGTTCTGTTTGAGGGTGGTCTTGGCTGGCCATGATCTATATTAGTATCTTTCCTCACAATATTGTCCAGCATAATAGTACTTGAACAGTCAATCTTACAAGAAAAGAAATTATTTCAGGCATTCTGACTTTGCAAGTTAAAAGCTACTTTTAAATTTATAAGAACACTTCAATAACTTAATTATGAAACAACAAAAAATAAATACCACATTTGAGAAGTTCTAACAAACATTTTCCCCATAAACAATGCTGAATAAAGGTTTTCACTATTTTAATATTTCACCTTAGTAAAATATTGAGGACACTATTTCAGAAACAAGAGCCAAAGGAAAGGAGTCTCAGGTCATTCCCATTCTTAAAAATTGAAAAAAAATTTCTTCATTTAAAAATAAACAACAAAAGGTTGCTATATGAAAAACACAAACTTGGTGAGAAGACTATCACAATTTCACATTTCTTGCAAGTCTCTTTAATGTCTCCCTAAACAGCATTCAATCTATTGTGGTGTACCGTTTTCAATCTAGCCTCACACAGATAGGACTTAGTGGACCCTCTGAAGGGGATACTTACACAAACTGATGCTCTGCTATGTGCTAGACAGATGAAGTCCATATATCTCCAACACTAACCTCAAGAGTAATGTATTAGTAAATATATTACTGTTGTTTTGTAGGAGAAAAGTTGAACCCTACAGATTCTTGCTTTACGCTGGGCAGGGTGGCTCACACCTGTAATCCTAGCACTTTGGGAGGCTGAGGCAGGTGGATCACCTGAGGTCAGGAGTTTGAGACCAGCCTGGTCAACAAGGCAAAATCTTGTCTCTACTAAAAATACAAAAATTAGCTGGGTGTGGTGGCACACACCTGTAATCACAGCTACTCCGGAGGCTAAGGAAGGAGAATCGCTTTAAGCCGGGAGGTAGAAGTTGCAGTGAGCCGAGACCGCACCACTGCATTCCAGCCTGCACGACAGGAGTGAGACTCCATCTCAAAAAAGGAAAAGATTCTTGCTTGAATGTAATAGGAATATAAATAACACTGCTTTTCCTAATTCATTGCCAGGCTAAAATACTTACAAACCCCTAAGAAGAGTTTAACACTTTAGACACTAAAATTATTTCATGCCTACAAAGACCAAATTTCCCACAAATGTTTTTGTGCTTTTCCAGTTCAATTCTTTAACATAGTTTGTATATAATGAATTAATTTCTTGCTTATGCACCTAGAATGGTACTAGTTATGAAACATCTTTGGGAGAAATCAAAAAATGGTCACTCATTTCGGTTTATTCTGTAATCCAGATGAGGAATTTCAGGTAATAAAAACATTCACCTCTATGAGGACTGCAAAGGAAAAAGCAGAAAGACAATTTTACTTTCTGTGGGTTCTCTTTCATGGGGGCAGGGGAAATCAGGGCAGGTGGTTAATACACAGGGTCATTTTTGTTTAAATATTCTTTTGGCAATACATGGCCAGTATTTCTCAGAGAGTACAAAATGTACTAGAATAACTAAATTTGTGAGAACTTAATACAAGGAAAGTTGTTTACATTGTGGAATAATCCTAAAAGCCAAATAAAACTATGGGGATTAGATGTAAGTTTTCCTATGTACCATCCATGCATGAAAAAATACATGCATTGTACTCATTTAAAGTACACAAAACTATTTAAAAAATGGAATGATTCTGGTAAGATTAACAATGTAACTATTAGGAAATATGAATTGATCCAATTTGAAAAGCAAATTAAATAATGAAAATAAGAAAGTTCTTTTCACAATCTTATAGGTAATTTGATCCAAGTGAAGAATACAAGGTATTTCCTAAAAGCTTCTTAATGTTAGGTTGTGTATGTATATGTGCACGACAGTGGGTTATCTAACCTTAGGTTTAAAAAGGACCAAACACAGAATCAACCTATACATGGAGATCTGTCTACAGAATGTAGTCATTTCTGCCTGTGGAAAAGTCATACTGTCTGGGTGTAGTGGCTCATGCCTCTAATCCCAGCAATTTAGAAAGCCAAGGCAGGAGGATCCCTTCAGCCTAGGAGATCAACACCAGCCTGGGTTAACATAGGAAGTCCCCCATCTCTATTAAAAATAAAAATCATTTAAAAATATAACAATAAATAAAAAGTCATACTGACAAAGAGTTTGGAGAGTGAGTTTAATTTACATATAATATAAACCAGAGGTAATTTTGCACTTGTCAGTATGATCTAACAGGATTTCTATTACTAAACTTGTCTTCATCTCTTCTGATGTCCAGCCATTCAACTTTCCAGCGTATCTTTCCATGTCCTTTCTTTTTTTCTATCCATCATCATAATCATTCATTTACAAACACCTTTAACTCTGGTGCCTTGAAAGACATTAGGTTATGTGTCCAATGTTCATAACCGTTTTATTTTTACTACTGTTGTAATATTCTAAAGGATTAAAATTAACTTGTAAAAACAACCTATAATCTAAAAAATTCATGCCTTCTACTACATCCAAATTCACTGACAATTTTCTTTCTTTCTTGAGACAGGGTCTCGCTCTGTTGGTCAGGCTGGAGTGCAGTGGCGTAATTTCAGCTCACCACAGCCTCTGCCTCCCAGGCTCAAGTGATTCTCCTGCCTCGGCCTCCCATATAGCTGGGATTACAGGCATGTGCCACCATGCTTGGTTAATTTTTGTATTTTCTGGTAGAGATGGGGTTTCACCATGTTGGCCAGCATGGTCTCAAACTCCTGACCTCCAGTGATCCGTCTGCCTTGGCCTCCCTCAAAGTGCTGGGATTACAGGAGTGAGGCACTGTACCCGGCCGACAATTTTCAATAGAAATTAGTATAAATGTTGTGTCTACTTACATCTGGAAGAGAGGGAAGATTATAAGAACCTCCCACCGGTGAGCTCAAATCGATCATAGGTGAACCAAAAGCCTTTCCATCATATCCTGCTGCACTAGTAATTGTGGGGCTGGAAGGAGTAGAGGATGTGCTGTTGGTAGTTGATGGGGCACCCTGTCCACTGCTGATCTGCCACTACAGTAACAAGAAGGGAAGAAAAAAGGCTATCAACAAGCTTATAAAAATACGTCTATCTAATCACATACATACAAAATGTAGTAGAAGAGTGCAACTGTAATTTACATGGAAGGAGAATGGGACAGGGAGACTGCATTAGGTATGTGTAATTTTCATTAATCCTGTAAAAACAAAAACAAAACAACCAAACAAAAAGCAGTAAAAAGCACTGATTTTTACTGAAAGACAACATGTAGTATATACCAGAAAATCACAGTATACAATCTTGACAGGTTTATACATACTGGAAAAAAAAAGTAAATATATACATGGCAACTACAAGATAAAGATGGAGGGTTGAAAACATTTCTTCTATCCCTATCTGAAACACTTAAAAATAATAAGCTACAGACCAGTGCTTTCAGGATTTTATATTCCTCTTTCTCATATATGAACATTAATTAGACCTCGATAAATATCTGAGGAAAGTACTGTCAGTCATGCTGAGATAAACATATTAATTAAGATGATGACAGGCATGCCGAAGTATATAAAGGTGAAGCGTGCTGCTGTCTGCAGTTTACTTCAAACCCTACTGAAAAATATGACGGGCCAGGTGCGGTGGCTTGCGCCTATAATCCCAGCACTTTGGGAGGCTGAGGTGGGCAGGTCACTTGAGGTGAGGAGTTCAAGACCAGCCTGGCCAACATGGTAAACTCCATCTCTACTAAAAAATACAAAAATTAGTCAGGTGTGGTGGTGGGCATCTTTAATTCCAGCAGGAGAATCACTGGAACCCAAGAGGCAGAGGTTGCAGGGAGCCAAGATAGCACCAGTGCACTCCAGCCTGGGCTACACAGAGGAAGACTCCGCCTCAAAAAAATAAAAAAAACAAAACCAAAAAAAAAAAAAAAAAAAAAAAAAAGAAAGAAAGAAAAATAGGAGGACTTGATGAATAGACAAAGGAATAAATATGCAATAAGGCAAGTAGAACAAAATTAGAACAAATGTTTCCTATATAATTCTTTCAATTTTTGTTATGTTTGAACATTTTCATGCTGGGAGAAGGAAAGTAACTAAGCAGTACTGCAAGATGCTGTATTTTCCAAACATAGTCATTCATAAATGAACAGCGCTATATAGGAAGCCAAGGCAGGAGGATGAAACATTTTAATTTTGAAAAACCTAATTTATATATTCCATTGTAAAAACTACATACAGAAAGCATATGAAGTTGCATATGAATGTCCTCTTTACCACCTATTCCTTCCTCATATTCTTCACCCCTATGCCCCCCTCCCCTTTCCTCCTTCTCTACCAAGAACAATCGGTGGATCTTTTCAGGTTTGTTTTCTATGTACCTGATGAGACTGGAGGAAAATACACACAAATATCTCACAAAAATTCTACATGTTTTTCCTCCCATAATATACTCAGAAAATCATATCTGGATTATTGATTTTCTTAATATCTGAAAAGTATTCCACTGTATCAGTACATTCTAATTTGTTAAACTCATTTACCACTTAAAACCAATTTTCCACTAGATTCTTTCCTGGCTTGTTCATTTACTTATTCATTCATGTTTACATTTTTGGTCAACAACCATTTTAAAAACCATGTTTAGAGTATCTAACTCATCAAAGTATAATAAATAGGGAAGAGATAAAGTAAATGCTTGAGTATGGAGTATGTGGTACGTGCTTGTACATACTGAAGAATAAATTCTCAATGTAACTCTGACAAGATACTCATTTTATAGCTAAGGCAAGTGAAATGTGAAAAGTCACAAAATTATTAGGAAAATAAGTAGAATTTAAGGCCAAAGTGAAGCGTGGGTCCTTTTTACTTTCCTTCTCATGATGAATTATGAAGTTTATTTAAAGTAATTAAAATATTAAGAAAATTTAGTGATGACTATAGCAAAGCCAAATTGATTATACAAACTTATGTATAGACACAAAGTATGCATACTTTTATAAAATATTTAAATGATTTTATTAAAATGAATGTTATAAAATTATGAAAATTGCATCATCTTTATTTTGGTCTTGCAGGAAAAAAACAATCGGTCTACAATCAGCTGGACAGGAGATTGTCATGGGAGCTTTTTAGAAGACAAACACTGTTATAACTTTTACTTTAAGATAATGTAAAACATAAAATATTTTTACCTGAAGACATTAAGAACATAAATATGGCTGGGTATGGTGGCTTATGCCTGTAATCCCAGCACTTTGGGAGGCTGAGGCAGGCAGATCACTTGAGGCCAGGAATTTGAGACCAATCTGGCCAAAACAGTGAAACCCCATGTCTACCAAAACTAGAAAAATTAGCCAGGCGTGGTAGTGGGTGCCTGTAATCCCAGCTACTCTGGAGGCTGAGGAAGGAAAATCGTTTGAACCTGAGAGGTGGAGGTTGCAGTGAGCTGAGATCATGCCACTGCACTGTAGCCTGAGTGACAGAGCGAGACTCCGTTTCAAACAAACAAAAAAAGAATATAAATAATAAACTGTATTATATTAATATATATTAATTTCTTTTTTTTGGAGATGGATTTTCACTCTGTCACCCAGGCTGGAGTGCAATGGCACAATCTCAGCTCACTGTAATCTCCACCTCCCTAGTTCAAGCAATTCCCCTGCCTCAGCCTCCCGAGTAGCTGAGATTGCAGGTGTGAGCCACCATGCCCAGCTAATTTTTATTTATTTATTTATTTATTTATTTATTTTAATTTTAAGTAGGAGACAGGGTTTCACCATGTTGGCCAGGCTAGTCTTGAACTCCTAACCTTGGGCACTCCATCCGCTGGGATTACAGGCCTGAGCTACTGTGCCTGGCCTAAATATTAAACTTTATCAGATATTTATGTATTGCCTCTTGAAATTGTGCCATAACTAAGTTTGTTTCCAAGAAATCTTCGAGACACTTCAGAAATTCATTTATTGTTCTTTGTAGAATACAACTTTTATTTGTTAGAATACTTTTATCTTAGGAAATTTCATATACTCACCTAAAAGTTATCCATACATAATTAATACCTATGACTCATTATTTATATTGGACCATCACTTCTACATAAGTGGTTTGATTTCTCTTATTGATGAAGCATCAAACTTTGCAATTCACATTTATTTAATATATGAAAATGAAAGCTTGCTCTTGGCTCTTTATAACCTGTTGCTTAATCTATAAATTCAATGTGATCTGAAAGTAGAAAGCAGCAGAATAGCAACTGAGAAAAAGAAGTAGATACATACCTGTTTTATGGCTTGTTGAGCCAAGAAAGCCATTTGTAGCGGGTTGGGCTTTATTGCTTGTCGTGGTAATATTCTGATTTGGTGGATATCTCAATTGTTGAGGATGAGGAGTAAGAACTGGTCCATTGGGTTTAGGGCTGTGATTCTGAAAGTTTATCAAACGTGGAGGGGGTTGCTAGAAAAAAACAAATTAAGAAGATTGATTTAGTAGCAATCTTCTGAAAAACAAATGATAAATCCCTATCTTATAAAACTTCTACAGAAACACAGAACTCTGCCATAGATCAATGAATTACCAAGATTACAAGGGAATGAGGAGTGGGGGATGGGCAGACTTTCAGAATTTGTGTAAACAACTTTTTAAAAATAATCTCATTAGGAAAGAACCTTGGGATAGGGATTGCCACCTAGGTAAGTAGGTTGTACCAGAATTGGACCTAGGCCATGTTAAGAAGTAGGTAAAATATATCTTTGGTATCCTTCTAAGTCCTTCATGATTATCTGTCACAAAGAACTACACTCTTGAAACCTCCAAAAAAAAAAAAAAAAAGTGATTGCAGAATTCTAACTTCTAACATTTACTGAGCAGTTATTAAGTGCCAGGTACTGCTTTAAGTGCCTCATATGTATCCACTAATTTAATCATAACACCAATATTTGGAGCACAAATTATTTCTATTTTGTAGATAAGAAAACTGTAACAAAGTACAGAAAGTTTAGTGCATAAAGCTGGGATTTGAACAAGTAGTCTGGCTGAACAGGTCTACTCAAAAATGAACCAATTGTTAATAATGAAAATAGTTGATGTTAATGAAACTTAATAAGCTTTAGATCTTATTGAGCCTGCCAGGGATTTCACGTATTATTATGTCATTGAGCCTTATGAAGTAGGTATAATTACCTTTGCTTTGCAAATTAGGAAACTAACAGTTAGAAAACATAGAAAAAAGTTACATAGCTAATAATATCAGGCACCACACCCAGGCTTTAATAAAAATCTAGTCTGCAGCTGTGTGCGGCGGATCACGCCTGTAATGCAGGCACTTTAGAAGGCCGAGGTGGGCGAAGCATGAGGTGAGGAGTTTGAGGCAATCCTGGCTAACACGGTGAAACCCCTGTCTCTCTAAAAAAAGTCTAGTCTGCCATATCATTACCACAACATGTTAAGATCCTGAGTATTTACAACTTAGAGGATCAGTCTCCTTAGAAGAAAACACATTTTCTGTTTGTTTGTTTTTTTAAATTTTTTTTTTTTTTGAGACAGAGTCATGCTCCCATCTCAGCTTACTGAAACCTCCACTTCCTCGCTCAGTTAAGCGATTCTCCTACCTCTGCCTCCCAAGTAGCTGGAATTATAGACATGCCAACCATGCCTGGCTAATTTTTGCACTTTGGGTAGAGACAGGGTCTTGAACTACTGACCTCAAGTGATCTGCCCATCTCGACCTCCCAGAGTGCTGGGATTACAGGCGTGAGCCACTGCACATGGCCAGAAAACATATTTTCCCAAAAAAAAAAAAAACTCTTTAAGAACAACCCTGGTTGATTACAGAAGGCTGAGTGAAGGAATCACAAACAAGGCAAGGGCTAGAAAGGCAAGCCTACTCTGGGCTCATAAATACTAGCTCTGGAAATTGAGATCAGTCCTAGAAGAAAAAGGTAGCCTTATATGCCAGTCTCCTCTTGACTGATTCTTTCTACAGCTGGAAATGTATTGCAAAATAAATATTCTTTTTAGCATATCTTAACTGTATGATCACAATTTCTCAAAGAGAAGCCTATTTCCTCCTACATACATTCACAGGGGGACAAATAAACAGGTACTCTTTAAGGTTGAAGCAGCAACACCTGAAACTTTGACACTGTGAAGGCAGACAGCTATAAAGTATAGTTCTATCCGCTTTATTATTTTTCTTCTTCCTCCCATTTTTGGAATTTACTATCCTCTCCTGGGTCAACTGCTTCGCTCTTAAAAATTAGTTTGCACTGAGTTTACCTCTCATTAACTTTCAAGAGTAGCCAGCAATTACAGACCTAGTGAAAAACAGATTTAGATGCTGATTCTAAACAAGTGGAATTCTGTAGGTAAAGTGTAGAAAAAATTATTTTCTTAACCCAAAATGGTCCTTAAGGGAGAATAAAGGTAATCATAGAAGTCTTTTAAGTCCTTTACCACCTTCATCCAGACTAATGTTTACATATTGACAACCAAGAAATGTCACTTAATGCCAGTGCAATGTGCTATGGTATGTAAGATGTCAACCATGCCATCAAGATGCTTATGGTCTGGTAAGATGCAAGGTGATTTTCCCCCCACTCTCCTAAACTGTTATGGTTGCGTTAATGTCTAAGAATCCTGTGACAGGGGAAGCAACTTAAAAAATAAAATTAGGAAATAGTTAAAAACCTAAAGAAATAGCAAAATATATTATATATGTGACAGTGTTCTGTCACAACTTCAGATCCACTGGAGTTTAATGGAATATACTGTATAGAGCCAAATAAACAGAAATGTACGTCTATTGAGTTTGCTTCACTTAGTTTTACCACTATTCTACTTTTATTATTACCCAACTCTTTTAACCATGCAGATGACATGGTTAATCTTCAGAGGAAGAATATAACTGTCATGTAAGTGATTTTTAGAAACAGTTCTTTTCAGTTTACCTGTATATATAGGCAGATGCAGAGTATAAATTGCATATACTCATAGTTACACAGACACACCTGCTGTGTGCCTATGCCTAGACAGATATTTTTCCATATGTACATACAAATAAGTTGGTAGAAAACAAACCGTAGGAGGGCAGGGCAATACACAAATTTACAGAAGAGGGACACCAAATAGTGAAGACGTATGAAAGGGCATTTGGCAGATAACAGATAATAATGAGTGATGAGAGGCTAAGGGCAGTGGCTCACAAGATCAGGCATTTGAGACTAGCCTGGCCAATATAGTGAAACCCCATCTCTACTAAAAATACAAAACAAACAAAAAATTAGGCATGGTGGCAGGCACCTGTAATCCCAGCTACTCAGGAGGCTGAGGCAGGAGAATCGCTTGAACCTGAGAGGCAGAGGTTGCAGTGAGCCAAGGTTGCACCATTGCACATTGCACTCCAGCCCAGGTGATAGTGTAAGACTCCGTCTTTAAAAAAAAAAAAAAAAAAAAAAGGTCAGCTGTGGAGGCTCACACCTATACACAACCCCAGAACTTTGGGAGGCTGAGGTGAGCAGATCATGAGGCAGCAGATGGAGACCAGCCTGGCCAACATGCTGAAATCCTGCCTCCACTAAAAATACAAAAAAATTTGGCCGGGCATAGTGGCATACACCTGTAATCTTAGCTACTCAGGAGGCTAAGGCAGGAGAATCGCTTGAAACCCAGGAGGCAGAGGCTGCAGTGAGCCGAGATTGCACCACTGCACTCCAGCCTGGGTGTCAGAGCAAGACTCCATCTCAAAAAAAAAGAAGTGATGAGAATGTGAAAGAAACTGCAGGAAATTTTCAAAAACTGACAGAAAAAGAACAGTAAGTGATGTAAGAACTGCAGTATGTGAATGTTCCAAGTGTGAAAATTAGGTTATATAATAGAGACTATACAGATTATAGCACTAAATTAAAAGAGAATTTATGAGAACATAGTGTCTATTAACTGCCTCGGTTACTTTTTTTGAGACAGTGTATTGCTCTCTCACTGGGCTGGAGTGCAGGGGCATGATCATGGTTCACTGCAGCCTTGACATGCCAGGCTCAAGAAATCCCTCCTATCTCAGTCCCCCAAGATAGCTGGAACTATAAGCATGTGCCACCTCACCTAGCTAATTTTTTATTTTTTGTAGAGATGGGGGTGGGGGAGGTCTCCCTGCGTTGCCTAGGCTGGTCTCCAATTCCTGGAGTCAAGTGATCCTCCGACCTCAAGTCTCCCAAAGTCCTGGGATTACAGGCATGAGCCACTGTGCCCAGCCGTTCTTGACTTCTTAGTGAAAAGGCAATTAACTCAAATGATGGATTCATTCCTTTTGTTGTCAATAAACTACTAAATATTTAGAAGGTAAATATTAATACGTGCAAATGCTTAGCACTGGGCATTCTAATATTTTCTCATTTCCATTATCTAGCTTCAGAAAAATTTTAATCATCTTTGCAGTCTATCTGAAATATGTCATTGCGCCTTCAATTTTCTTAACAAAATTTCTACTCTGCTAGGTATTATACTCCTAGTATATAAAGTAGAAAATTATCTTCCCATGGAACACATTAGATAGCAATATCTATATTATTCTTGTTTCCTTTTTGCTTTGGTTGGCAAGAAGTTCTGAGCTGAGTTGTCTTTTTCAGTATGAGAATTCTTAGCCTACGTCCGCATACTTTGACTCTTAGTAAACTCTGCTCAATTTCATTGGTATCCTATACTGTAAATCACTTCAAATTCTTTGCAGAAAAAGAGTATACATAGCCGGGCGCAGTGGCTCATGGCTGTAATCCCAACACTTTGGGAGGCTCAGGCGGGCAAATCACCTGAGGTTGGGAGTTCAAGACCAGCCTGACCATGTGGAGAAACCCCGTCTACGAAAAATACAAAATTAGCTGGGCATGGCACATGCCTGTAATCCCAGCTACTCAGGCGGCTGAGGCAGAACCTGGGAGGCAGAGGCTATGGTGAGCCAAGAAGGCACCACTGCACTCCAGCCTGGGCGGCAAGAGCAAAACTCCACCTCAAAAGAAAAAAAAAGAGTATATAAATAAATGATGTAACTGAAAACAACAAATTATATAAATTAGACTTTACATTCCTTACTAAACTTGTATTAAATCTAAGTCTGCCCACATGTAAACTGATAGGAGAGTTAAACAAACAAAACAAAACAAAAAAAGGGCCGAGCGTGGTGTCTCACGCCTGTAATCTCAGCACTTTGGGAGGCCAAGTCAGGCGGATCACCTGAGGCCAGGAGTTCAAGACCAGCCTGGCCAACATGGTGAAACCCTGTCTTTTAAAAACAAACAAACAAAAAATATATATATACATTTTATCTTCAAAAACTGGACTGAGGCCAGGGACAGTGGTTCATCCTTGTAATCCCAGCATTTTGGGAGGCTGAGATGGGCAAATCACTTAAGGTCAGGAGTTTGAGACCAGCCTGACCAACATATTACAAATATAAAAATTAGCCAGGCACGGTGGTGCACACCTGTAATCCCAGCTACTCAGGAGGCTAAGGCATGAGAATTGCTTCAACCTGGGAGGTAGAAGGTGTACTGAGCTGAGATCGTGCCACTGCACTCCCACCTGAGTGACAGAGTGAGACTCTGCCCCTCAACACCCTGCAAAAAAAGATGGGATTGTAGTAAAAATAAAAATGGTAAATCGTGTATTGGCTCAGAAATAAAGTTTGGAAAAGGCAGATTATAATTAACCACACTTTTGCCCTTTTCTATTTCACTCTGCCCTAGTTTCTAATATGCAATGTGGTTTTCTAAACACTGCATCCTCACAGAGGACAGATTCTTAATGTAGTCATCATTCTCAAGCACTAATATAGGAATTACAGGTACACAGCTTTTCCCATCAATCACAGGGCTTGGGTTATTTAGGAATACAAACATTTATCCCCTGCTTTAATTTGAAGACAATGAAGGGTAGGTAGATGAAAATAGATTTATCAGCTAAATAAACCATTAAATCCTTTTTAAGTAGGGATAAAAACTAGGCATTAAGTCAGGGATGCTTAATGTGATAAATTTTTATAAATGCAGATATTTAGATGATGGAAAATGGATGTCTTTGTTATTTTGAGCTGCTTAACACAATTATACTATAATTATCTAATTGAGGACAGGCCTGCTTCCAAATTTACCTGATGAGAGATGGAAGGTTGCTGGATGGGCCCCTGCATTCTAGGGTTTGGTAAACCCACAGGTGCTGGCCTCCGTTGCACCTGTTGCCTCTGAGCCATTACCTGTTGCTGCATATGCTGGAGCCGTAATTGAGCTAGGCTGATCTGTGTTGGGAACTTGGATAACTGGTTTGATGATAAACCACTTGGTGGCTGTGAATTCTGTTCCACGACAGGATTTTGCTTAGGCATTTGTGGCTGGCTCTCTTTATCCTCGATTACTAAAGAACCTGATTAAAAAGAAAAGGTTAAGGGAAAAAGTTTTTCAGATAGGTGGTGAAATATCACATTTTGTAAGGCTATTTTTGAAAACATCAGAATTGTCAAGAAATCCTCTGGTCTCATGAGCCCTTTTACACTCTGAAATATAGCGGATCCCCAAACAGCTTTTGTTCATTTAAGTTCTAGTCACCAAAAATTATAATATTAGAAATAAAAATACTTTTTAAAATTACTAATTCATTTAAAAATAATAAAACCATAACAACATGTTTTTATAAAACTATATTATAAAAAATTTGGTAAACAGTGGCATTGTTTGATATTTTAAAAAATCTCTTTGAATGTCTGGCTTAATAGCTGAAATCTCATTATCTGTTTCTGCACTATCATTGTTAGGTTAAAATGTATGAAAAAAATTTCACTCTCACTGTATGGCAGACAGCACCTGACAGCAATAACTTAAGTGTACCCTGAGAGTGACCTGTGCAGCCTAAGAAGAATGCGTGTTTGCAGTTCCGAGCTAAGGAACCCAGGATTGGCCAATGCGGAGATTCATTCTTTATCAGTGAAGAATATCTGAACTCCCAGCCCAGCCTGCGGAATCCAGGCCATATAGGGGATGGAGGCCTTTTATTTTGTGTTAAATGAAGGTTGCCACATGGAGGTTGCTAGAGAGAGGGTGCTAAATGCTATTTAAACTACTTACTGGTGGTTCTCCCATCCAGACCACTGCCACTGTACTGTACTGTACTGTATGTAAGTTCCCTCAATAAACCCTATGTCTCGTTCACTGGCTTGAGGTCTCTTCTTGGGCCTCTCAAACATGGCACCATCCCTACCGAAGTCCCTAGAGGTCTGGCACAACAGTCATTCAGACATGCAGTTGGAAAAGGGTGGCCTTTGTGGTCCCCTGGAAGAGTACCAGACTACACTTTGAGAACTGCTGTCATGTATCAAAACAAGCAAATCTGAGACTGGCTCTAAATAAAATCCCATAAAGTATTTCTAAATCTTTATTATTAACAAGTTGTGATCTCTCAAGTTTCCTATACCTTTACAATGTATACATATTGTGTTAACTTTTTGATACAGAATATGTTGACTGGCTTAAAAACTAGTTTTAAAAGTTTAATGATGCCTTTGAAAAGTCAGATCCAAGATTGATTTCAACAGTAGAGACTCAAATGTTTATGATTTACTAAGCAAATGCATTCTAAAAATACAGTTATTCATTAAATGTTTACTATGTGTAATTCACTATGACAGGTAGGTATATGTATATATTTAAAAGAAACAATAATATTCTCTTTTACACATAAGGGATCTCAGGTTTAGAGAGACTTTAAAACTTATCCAAAGTCACTCAAGACACTAACAAAATATTCATCTAGATCAATATTGTTCCCTACCACTCTTCTCTGTTTCTCAGAAGCCATGGGTAACAAGTTTAGAAAACTTGTCTCCTTCTTTAGAGATTTACATGAATTTACAGTGCTGTAAATGACAGGAGAAATCCTACAGTAAAATATATTGTTTAACTTCATTGTATCAGTTTCACAAACTATTAGACTAGAAGATCCTGTTTTTGTTTTGGCTAAAGTAGGTTTATCTGAAACTACAACCATTTATGTGTGTACAGTTTTAAATATAATTCTTAAATATACTTATGTCTATATGTGGGTGTATTTAACTATTGTGATGTAAGTATATACATCCCTACATCTATGACCAACTTGTGTGGATTTATACCTTGTGATGGGTTCTGAATACAGATGAATGTGTGGTGACAGTCAGGTGTGGTAACAAGAGTTACTTATACACATTTTGTATTCTAAAGATGCTTCTTTGTGGTAAAATGCGTGTGTATAATTCCAGTTGCCTGCTATGTATCAATATCCATGTCTGTATCTAAAGCAGTCTGCAAGGGTCTCCTTATCACCTTGGCTTCCAGGATTCTTTCTGTTCTTCCCTCACTTGGGTAAGATTGCCTATTTCCTCCTTTCCTAGTGAGTATGGGCTATTTTTCCAGTCATTTTCTTTCCTTACCCAGAATCTAGCATTGGAGATGAGAAACCATCTTTGATGATTCTGAAACAAATACAATAAGCTCCCCCTCCGCCGCCCAAAAAAGAAATCATCAAAGGTAATATTGGTTGCTGATGAACAGACAATGGGTTGCTAAAGGATGGGGATACGTTCTGAGAAATGTGTCATTCAGGCAATTTTGTCTTTAGGCAAACGGCAGTTTACTTATGTAAAAGTATACTGTATAGCCTACTACACACCTAGGTTACATGGCATAGCTTATTGCTAGGTAGAATCCAGGCTACAAACCTGTACAGCATGTAATAGTACTAAATTATCTAGACAATACTGTAGGCAATTGTATTGTAACACAATGGTATCTGTGTATCTAAACATAAAAAGATATAGTAAGGCCGGGCGCGGTGGCTCACGCCTGTAATCCCAGCACTTTGGGAGGCTGAGGCGGGTGGATCACGAGGTCAAGAGATCGAGACCATCCTGGTCAACATGGTGAAACCCTGTCTCTACTAAAAATACAAAAAATCAGCTGGGCATGGTGGCGTGTGCCTGTAATCCCAGCTACTTAGGAGGCTGAGGCAGGAAAATCGCCTGAACCCAGGAGGCGGAGGTTGCTGTGAGCCGAGATCGCGCCGAGCCGAGATCGCGCCATTGCACTCCAGCCTGGGTAACAAGAGGAAACCTCTGTCTCAAAAAAAAAAAAAAAAAAAAAAAAAAGATATAGTAAAAAAAACCCTCAGTATTTGTTAAGTCATAGATGCTGTTAGTTGATTGAGACAGCATTATGCAGTATTAACTGTTTAAGATTTGGGTACTGCCGGGCGCGGTGGCTCAAGCCTGTAATGCCAGCACTTTGGGAGGCTGAGGCAGATGGATCACGAGGTCAAGAGATCGAGACCATCCTGGTCAACATGGTGAAACCCCGTCTCTACTAAAAATACAAAAAATTAGCTGGGCATGGTGGCGTATGCCTATAATCCCCAGCTATTCAGGAGGCTGAGGCAGGAGAATTGCCTGAACCCAGGAGGCGGAGGTTGCGGTGAGCCGAGATCGCACTATTGCACTCCAGCCTGGGTAACAAGAGCAAAACTCCGTCTCAAAAAAAAAAAAAAAAAGATTTGGGTACTTGTCAATATGTATGTTATACTTCAGTTAGTAAGAAATTTACATAACTGAATGTGATGAAGAGAATGAATCCAAGCTGGAAAATACTCTTCAGGATATTATCCAGGAAAACTTCCCCAACCTAGCAAGGCAGGCCAATATTCAAGTCCAGGAAATACAGAGAACACCACAAAGATATTCCTCAAGAAGAGCAATCCCAGGGCACATAATCATCAGATTCCCCAGGGTTGAAATGAAGGAGAAAATGCTAAGGGCAGTCAGAGAGAAAGGTCGGGTTACACACAAAGGGAAGCCCATCAGACTCACAGCAGTAGAAACTCTACAACCAGAAGAGAGTGGGGGCCAATATTCAACATCCTTAAAGAAAAGAACTTCCAACCTAGAATTACATATCCAGCCAAACTCAGCTTCATAAGTGAAGGAAAAATAAAATCCTTTGCAAACAAGCAAGCACTCAGAGATTTCATCACCACCAGGCCTGCTTTACAGGAACTCCTGAAAGAAGCTCTACACATAGAAAGGAACAACCAGTAACAGCCACTCCAAAAATAAACCAAATGGTAAAGAGCATCAACACAATGAAGAATCTATATCAACTAATGGGCAAAACAGCCAGCTAGCATCAAAATGGCAGTATCGAATTCACACATAACAATATTAACCCTAAATGTAAATGGACTAAATGTCCCAATCAAAAGACACAGACTGGCAAATTGGATAAAAAGCCAAAACTCATCAGTGTACTCTATCCAGGAAACCCAACTCACAGGCAAGGATACACAAAGGCTCAAAGTAAAGGGATGGAGGAAGATTTAACCAAGCAAATGGAGAGTAAAAAAAAGCAGGAGTTCCAATTCTCATCTCTGATAAAATAGACTTTAAAGCAACAAAGATCAAAAGAGACAAGGACATTACATAATGGTAAAAGGATCAATGCAACAAGAAGAGCTAACGATCCTAAATATGTACACAACCAATACAGGAGCACCCAGATACATAAAGCAAGTTCTTAATGACTCACAAAGAGACTTAAGACTCCCACACAATAATAGCGGGAGACTTTAACACCCCATTGTCAATATTAGACAGATCAACCAGACAGAAAATCAACAAGGATATCCAGGCCTTGAACTCAGACCTGGAACAAGCAAACCTAATAGACATTTACACAACTCTCCACCCCAAATACACAGAATATACATTCTTCTCAGCACCACATCGCACCTACTCTAAAACTGACCACATAATTGGAAGCAAATCACTCCTCAGCAAATGCAAAAGAATGGAAATCATAACAAACAGTCTCTCAGACCACAGTTCAATCAAGTTAGAACTCAGAATTCAGAAACTAACTCAGAATCGCATAGCCTCATGGAAACGGAACAACTTGCTCTTGAATGTTGACTGCATAAACAACGAAATGAAGGCAGAAATAAAGACTTTCTTCGAAACCAATGAGAATGAAGATGCAACATACCAGAATCTCTGGTACACACTTAAAGCAATCTCTAGAGGAAAATATATAGCAATGAGTGTCCACATGAGAAGAAAGGAGAGATCTAAAATTGACACCCTATCATCAAAATTGAAAGAGCTAGAGGAGCAAGATAAAAAAAAACTCAAAACCTAGCAGAAGACAGGAAATAACTAAGATCAGAGCAGAACTGAAGGAGATAGAGACACAAAAATCTCTTCAAAAAAAAATCAATAAATCCAGGAGCTGGTTTTTCAAAAAGATCAACAAAATAGACCACTAGCCACATTAATAAAAAAGAAAAGAGAGAATAACCAAATGGATGCAATAAAAAATGATAAAGGGGATATCACCACATATTCCACAGAAATTCAAACCATCATCAGAGATTATTACAAACAACTCCATGCACATAAACTAGCAAACCTGGAAGAAATGGATACATTCCTGGACACTTGCCTCCTTGCAAGCCTAAACCAGGAAGAAGCCGAAACCCTGAATAGACCAATAACAAGGTCTGAAGTTGAGGCAGCAATTAAGAGCCTACCATTCAAAAAAAGCTCAGGTCCAGATGGGTTCACAGCCGAATTCTACCAGACACACAAAGAGGAGCTGGTACCATTCCTTCTGAAACTATTCCAAATAATCCAAAAAGAGGGAATCCTTCCCAAATCATTTTATGAGACCAACATCATCCTGATACCAAAACCCAGCAGAGACTCAACAAGAAAAGAAAACTTTAGGCCAATATCCATGATGAACATAGATGCAAAAATCTTCAAAAAAATACCAGCAAGCCGATTGCAACAGCACATCAAGAAGCTTATCCACCATGATCAAGTAGGATTCATCCCAGGGATGCAAGGCTGGTTCAGCATACGCAAGTCCATAAACGTAATTCAGCACATAAACAGAACCAAAGACAAAAACCACATGATTATCCCAATTGATGCAGAGAAGGCCTCTGACAAACTTCAACAGCCCTTTATGCTAAAAACCCTCAATAAACTAGGTATTGACGGAACATATCTCAAAATAATAAAAGCTATTTATGACAAACCAACTGCCAATATCATACTGAATGGGCAAAAAATGGAAGCATTCTCTTTGAAATCTGGCACTAGACAAGGATGCCCGCTCTCACCACTCCTATTCAGTATAGTACTGGAAGTTCTAGCCAGAGCAATCAGGCAAGAAAAAGAAATAAAGGGTATTCAAATAGGAAAGGAGGAAGTCAAATTGTCTCTATTTGCAGATGACATGATTGTATATCTAGAAGACCCCATTGTCTCAGCCCAAAATCTCCTGAAACTGATAAGCAACTTCAGCGAAGTCTCAGGATACAAAATAAATGTGCAAAAATCACAAGCATTCCTATACACCAACAACAGACTTAAAGAGAGCCAAATCAAGAATGAAATGCCATTCACAATTGCTACAAAGAGATTAAAATACCTAGAAATATAGCTAACAAGGAACGTAAAGGACCTCTTCAAGGAGAAATACAAACCACTGCTCAAGGAAATAAGAGAGGACACAAACAGATGGAGAAACATTCCATGTTTATGGTTAGGAAGAATCAATATTGTGAAAATGGCCATACTGCCCAAAGTAATTTACAGATTCAACACTATTCCCATCAAGCTACCAATGACCTTCTTCACAGAACTGGAAAAAAAACACTTTAAACTTCATATGGAACCAAAAGAGAGCCCACATAGCCAAGTCAATTCTAAGCAAAAAGAACAAAGCAGGAGGCATCAACACTAGCGGACTTCAAACTATACTACAAGGCTACAGGAATCAAAACAGCCTAGTACTGGTACCAAAACAGATATAGACCAATGGAACAGAATAGAGGCCTCAGAGGCAACACAACATATCTACAACCATCTGATCTTTGACAAACCTGACAAAAACAAGCAATGGGGAAAGGATTCCCTGTTTAATAAATGGTGTTGGGAAAACTGGCTAGCCATGTGCAGAAAGCAGAAACTGGACCCCCTTCCTGACACCTTACACTAAAATTAACTCCAGATGGATTAAAGACTTAAACATAAGACCTAACACCATAAAAACCCTAGAAAAAAATCTAGGCAAAACCATTCAGGACATAGGCGTAGGCAAGGACTTCATAACCAAAACACCAAAAGCATTGGCAACAAAAGCCAAAATAGACAAATGGGACCTAATCAAACTCCACAGCTTCTGCACAGCAAAAGAAACAGTCTTTAGAATGAATCGGCAACCAACAGAATGGGAAGAAATTTTTGCAGTTTACCCATCTGACCAAGGGCTGATATCCAGAATTTACAAAGAACTAAAACAGATTTACAAGAAAAAAACAAACAAGCCCTTTCAAAAGTGGGCAAAGCATATGAACGGACATTTTACAAAAGAAGACATACATGAGGCCAACAAACATATGAAAAAATGCTCATCATCACTGGTCTTAGAGAAATGCAAATCAAAACTACATTGAGATACCATCTCATGCCAGTTAGAATGGCAATCATTAAAAAATCTGGAGACAACAGATTCTGGAGAGGATGTGGAGAAATAGGAACACTTTTACACTGTTGGTGGGAGTGTAAATTATTTCAGCCATTGTGGAAGACAGTGTGGCGATTCCTCAAGGAATTCTTCACTGAAATAGAATTCCTCCTCAAATAGAAATTCCATTTGACCCAGCAATTCCATTACTGGGTATATATCCAAAGGATTATAGATCGTTCTACTATAAGGACACATGCACACGAATGTTCACTGCAGCACTTTTTACAATAGCAAAGACCTGGAATCAACCCAAATGCCCATCGATGATAGACTGGACAAGGAAAATGTGGCACATACACACCATGGAATATTACGCAGCCATCAAAAGCGATGAGTTTGTGCCCTTTGTAGGGACATGGATGAACCTGGAAGCCATCATTCTCAGCAAACTGACACAGGAGCAGAAAATCAAACACTGCATGTTCTCACTCACAGGCGGGTGTTGAACAATGAGAACACATGGACACAGGGAGGGGAGTACTACACACGGGGGTCTGTTGGAAGGAAACAGGGGAGGGACAGCAGGAGGTGGGGAGTTGGGGGCGGGGGTGATGGCATGGGGAGAAATGCCAGATATAGGTGAGGGGGAGGAAGGCAGCAAATCACACTGCCACATGTGTACCTATGCAACAATCTTGCATGTTCTTCACATGTGCCCCAAAACCTAAAATGCAATTAAAAAAAATTTAAAAAGAAATTTACATAACTATTACCTGATCAGGCAAAAGAGAAAAAGTCTTCCCTAAGCAAGATAAAGGATTGAACCATTAGGTTCCTACTGAATGGTTCTAAAGATAAGCCAATAAAAATAAAGTCGTTTAAAAGTAAAACTTTCTAGATACCAAAAACCCTTTATCAATGACAAGTCAAGTTAACTCATTCTGATAAATTTAGAGCAATTCTAAGCAAAAAGAACAAAGCAGGAACAAACCAGATTTTGGGGGAGGGGGGGTGAGGTAACAGGACAGGACACCTAAATCCCTAAGTCTAGAGACCCTGTAATTCAATGTTATAGAATGTTTTCTTATCTGTACATGTATGTGTGTTTATATTGATGTGTATGTGTCACCATATATATACAATACTAGCAAAAACAGCATGCCTTTTTAAAACAAAATAATCAAAGCATTTTCAATGTGAGAAAAGACATTTTCTTTAATCCTCCAGTGTCAGCCTTCTAAGTAGCTAGGACTACAAGCATGTGCCACTACCCTTGGCTAACTTAGGTATCTTATGTCGAAATGGGCTCTCCCTGTGTTGGCCAGGCTGGTCTTGAACTCCTGGGCTGAAGTGATCCTTGAGTGATCCCAAAGTGCTGGGATTACAGATGTGAGCCACTGTGCCCAGTCTAAGAGACCCTATTTTCAGTAACATGTCATAATCACTGAGAGTTCTACAAACAAAGGCCACTCTGAGAAATGTATATAATGGCCTACCTAAGTTGATAATATTTTGAGCCCAGAAACTAGGATCACAGTGAAACTGGATGGTGTTGTTGGTGACTGGGGATGCATCACATCTTGCACGAAGGAGGTGCCGCAACCGGTATGTAATCTAGAAGAAAAAGGAGAGACAACCAAATATTAGGAAAGTAATTTATTAAGTGCCCAGTAAATACCTAAAAGCAGTCTCTGATATATACATCAATACAAAATAAACAATCATATATAGGTTCAAAGCATGTTAAAAAGTTTTGAGGCATAACTCAGCTGTACTATTAAACCTATTTAGAAGTGACAGGTTAAAGTCAGTTTTTTGAATTATTAATAAAGCTTTGTAGAAGCACTAACTTAAATATTTGTAAAATAAAAATTGTTAACATATCTTAATCATCAGTGAGGATCTAGTAATTCTCCCTCAGCTCTTGAAGATTTTACTTCTTGGTTCACTATCACCATCTCCAACGTAAGTCCTGTCGCAATTTTGGAAGATTTCAATATCCAACCCAAATGATTCTTCTTTCACTTCCTCTAGTGCCCAAATACCAATACTCCTACAAACCTATCCGTCTTTTCATCTCACTTTACCCTTGCCTCTAGCCCTCAGTTCCTCATTATCCAGCTTCAATTCCAGTAACAGTTTCCTTGCATATATATCTTGTCAACTCACTCAATTATGTATGCTCACTTCACTCTCAACGTTTCCCCTAGATAAAGCAATCTGCCCTGGTTAAATCCCACCTTCTGCCTGAGTATCACTGAACCGATCTCACTTCAAACACTTGACCACTAACTTCAGCTAGGCCATTAAGGCTGACTAGCTATCATATGACATTTCTCTAGTCCAATCACTTCCCTAACTTTCCTAAGTAACTATTTCCTACTTTCTTTTCTCTTTTCTAACCTCCAGTATTTCCTCCCCCATTCTTAATCTTAGCTGATGTACTTGCTTAGCATTTCACTGAAAATCAGCAATAATCAAAGGTCGTCCACAAACTTCCGCCACTTTTCAGTCAGTATCCCCTCCTTTTACAATGGATGATGAAATGTCCATGTTTCTAGTTAAAGCCAGCCTTCCAATTAGAGCCCACCCTGTGTTGCCTACTCAGTAATTTTCATCCCTTTTCTGTATCACCAATTTTCCCATTTTACTGGATCACACCCATCAACATATAAATATGCTTTAAGTTTTTGCAGGTAAAAACAAAACTCTTGATTCCTTTTGTCCTACCATCAACTACCTCATTTCTTTTAAAGCAAAACTCTACAAGTCTCATCTAGGTCTATATCTCCGATCCTTCCCTTCCCATTTTTTCCTGATACTATTATGTTTAGGCTTGTAGCAGTTTTTCACAAAGGTGGTCAGTCTGCCTTCATGGAAACACTTTTTTCATTTGGCTTCCAGCACACACTATAATCCCATGGTTTTCCCTTGTTTCACTAGCTGCTACCCTTTGGAGCCACTGAGAATAGATTTAGGTTCCAATGCCAAACTGTTTTTAAACTCTCCAGTAAGGGCAGGGATGCACAATCTCAGTCTCCACTGCGGCAATGCACAATCTCAGTCTCCACTGTGGGCGTTTTCTTCTCTCCCACACTGCTATGTGCTGGAATGCCCAGGGCTCAGTTTTTTGACCACTCTTCCCCTGCATCCATATGTAGTCATGCACCACATAGCAGTGTTTCAGTCAACAATGTACCACATGTACAAGAGTAGTCCCATAAATTATAATGAAGCTGAAAAATTTCCATTGCCTAATGATGTTGGAGCTGTTGTAACATCACAGCACCAGGCATTACTTGTGTTTATGGTGATGCTGGTGTAAATAAACCTATCGTGCTGCCAGTCACATAATGATAATAAACAACTATATTATTGGTTTATGTTTTACTATACTACTTTTTCTCATTATTTTAGAGTGTATTCCTACTATTTACTAAAAAAAGCGACTGCCTCAGCCAAGTCTTTCAAGAGATAGTCTCAGAAAAAGGATTTTTTAATAGGAGATGAGAACTGAATGCATGTTTATGCCCCTGAAGACTTTCCAGTAAGACAAGATGTGGAGGTGTAAGACAGTGGTATTAATGTGAATCTTGGGTAGGCCTAGGCTAATGTGTGCATTTGTGTCTTGATTTTTAACAGAAAGTTTTAAAGTAAATAAATACAAAGATATAAGGAAATAAAGTATGTGTGCAATGTTTGTGTTTTAAGCGTTATTAGCTTAAAATAACAGTAGCTTGACTCTGACAAGAGAGTCAAAGCATTTAAAAAATTTAAGTTTTTAATAAAGTTAAAGCTTTAAGTAAGCTGAAGTTATTACTGAAGAAAAAAATATTTTCAAATAAATTTAATGTAATCTATATGTATGGTGCTTATAAAGTACCCAGTAGTGTATAGTAACGTCCTACGCCTTCACAATCACTCACCATTCCACTCAGTTGCTCACCCAGAGCAACTTCCAGTCCTGCAAGCTCCATTCATGGTAAATGCCCTACACGTGTACTATTTTTTTGAGTCTCACTCTGTCATCCAGGGTGGAGAGTAGTGGTACGATCTCAGCTCAGCTCACTGCAACCTCCATGGTGTAACATTTTTTAATCCTTTGTATTTTTTGACTGTACCTTTTCTATGTTTAGATACACAAACACCATTATGTTACAGCTGCATACGGTATTCAGTACAGTAATATGCTGTACAGATTGGTAGCCTAGGAGCAATAGGGTGTATCATCTAGGTTTGTGTAAGTACATCCTATGATGACACACAATACCAAAAATCACTATTTCTCAGAATACATCCCTGTCATCAAGTAACACATGACTGTACTTTTTATCCTCAGGTGTACTCTTCCTATAATCCTCCCCATCTCAATTACTGGCAATACTATTTTTTCCTACAACATAAAAGTCCTTGGTTCCTTTTTCTCATACCCTGTATTCAACATGTCAGCAAATCCCATTGGCTCCATGTTTAAAACATATGTATAAGCTGGGTGGGGTGACTCATGCCTGTAATCCCAACACTTTAGGAAACCAAGGTGAGTGGATCACAAGGTCAGGAGTTTGAGACCAGCCTGGCCAACAAGGTGAAACCCTGTCTCTACTAAAAATACAAAATTAGCTGGGCGTGATGGCACATGCCTGTCACCTCAGCTACTTGGGAGGCTGAGGCAGGAGAATCACTTGAATCCAGAAGGTAGAGGCTGTGGTGAGCCAAGATGGTGCCACTGTACTCCAAGCTGGGCAAAAAGAGTGAAACTCCATTTTCAAAAAAGAGGGGAGGGGAGGGGCCCAGCCTATATTTCTTTCACCCAAATTCCCCAAGTGTTAACTTATGCCCACATTTGCTGCAGTACTCACCCAACTGCTCCTACACACATTATTAGTCTTTTTCCAAAACTTTGGAGAGCAAGCTACAGACATGAGGTCCTGTCTCCCCTAAATACTGCAGTATGGATATCCTAAAACAAAGGTAACTAAATCCCAGATTCCAAATTCATAAGCCAATTGTTGCAACACAGCCATCCAGTTTAAATATTTCATCTAAACGCCAACAGTTTCGGCCATCCTTTCCATGATGCTATCAAGGAATACAAGTTGCTTAGTTGCCTCATTTTTCAGTTGCTCAGACTTTCTCTTTCGTTCATTTCCCTGATGTGTTTTGAAGATCTTATGCCTTACATTCTGTAGGATGACCTTTAACCTGAGTGATATTTCCTCCTGATCAGACTTATTTACAGTATTCTTGTCAAGAATACCACACATGATGATGTGCCAGGAAACATAGGATGTCAACTTGTCCTACGACTGGTGATATTAATCTTGATCTGTAATTCTGCTACTCAGTTTCTTAACCTTAAAGTTGAAGAGGTATTCTAAGATTTTACTAATACTCTGTTTTCCATCAATCCTCGACCCAGCATATTTGCAGCCACTGACTAGTCCTCCCAAATTACCTCTATGATAGTAACCAAATGTGCTCCTTTATACCCATTATTCTTTCTACAACCATAACTTTTTATTTTGTTATCAACTTGTCCCCCAATAACCTACTGTTTACTGATTTATATATTATAAACTCATGTATTCTTATTTAATTCAGTGTGTTATAATCTATTATAGTGACTTACTTTGATCCTCAAATTTATTTTTCGTTTTCCCAGTGGGAGCCCTTTTACACTGAATTCTGTTTCCTTTGACACGTCCCCATTATCATCTGAGCATTTCAGTAGTTTTCTGGTATAACATTATGTTCTGGGCACACCTTTTACTTTCCCCCTCTCTCCCTATTATTTTGAAACCAAGATATGGAAGAAGTGGGCTCAGTGCTGTTGAGATGCAGCACACCAACAATGAATACATATGTACATATAGATGGATACATATACATCTGTAACGATTTCTAGATCTGAGTCCAAGAATAAAAATAAAACTCTAAGTTCATACTTGTACTCTTAATTCCATCCAACACATCTTTTGGCCCTTCCTAGCCTAACTGCTTTCTAAATACCTTCTCTGGAAACTAGGCTGCCATTACCTTCAATATATTTATTTACTTATTCAATCCATTTGCTTATTTACTCAATATAATCCAAAAGACACTGGCTAATTCTTCTGAACACCTCTGTATTCCTCCCTCCCACTTCACATCTGTGGCTATTGGCTTCATGCCTGCTGTGATTCCCCAACCCTCTCCAATATCCAATGATCTCACAGTCACCATGCTGATGCCTCCATGCCAGGAAGATAAGTTAAGTCAGTTAAGATTATTGATAGTTTTGGCCGGGCACGGTGGCTCACGCCTGTAATTCCAGCACTTTGGGAGGCTGAGGCGGGTGGATCACGAGGTCAAGAGATCGAGACCATCCTGGTCAACATGGTGAAACCCCGTCTCTACTAAAAATACAAAAAATTAGCTGGGCATGGTGGCGTGTGCCTGTAATCCCAGCTACTCAGGAGGCTGAGGCAGGAGAATTGCCTGAACCCAGGAGGCGGAGGTTGCGGTGAGCCAAGATTGTGCCATTGCACTCCAGCCTGGGTAACAAGAGCGAAACTCCGTCTCAAAAAAAAAAGATTCTTGATAGTTTTTATGTTAATGTATAGATACACACACAC